AAAAAGTATCTCATGATAAAGCGACGGTGAAGCGACGTCCAGTTGAGTGTAATCTCTTAATTGTTTTCTGGATTATGATAGAGAGTAGACAAGCTTACGAAAAGAGAGAGAGAGAGAGAGAGAGAGAGACAGAGAGAGAGAGAGAGAGAGCGAAATCTTAGTCGTCGGGTGAAGGAGGCGAGCTGAAGAGTGGTGGAGAAAGGTAATTAGCAGACTGACAACGAGACGGGTAAATTTGCAAAGCCATTTCAAGTTCCTTCGAACCCCTTCAACTTTCTTTAAGTACGGAGCTATCCGCTCATCGCCGCTAATAGTTTACTGGAGGTGATTGGATTCTTCGGATCGTTTGTAACCACATCGGTAAACTTTGTACATTTAGCGCCTGCGATTTAATCCCTGCCGCGATAGATCGCTCGCTCGCGAAGGGGTTGCCGCATTATCGAGCCGGTCACGAAAGCGACCTTTGCCATCGCGTAGAACGCGCGTCTTTTGTGCAAGATTTATTTGTAGCGCCCGCTTTGAATATTTCCCGATGTTAAGTTCGCCTTACTCCGTCCATTTTTTACGCTTCAAAATGCCGCTTCTTTGTATCGGTTTAGGACATCACTCGAGACCGCTCAAGATACACATTTCTGCGTATTTCTTGCTCTTTTTTTACACGCATGAGGGGATAGAAAAGTATGCGTATGTGTTTATTTAAATAACTATTAAATGAATAATAGACTTCGCGCGTAACAAACGAAACCGTACACCTATACGTCGATCGCGCGAAGGGGATGAGGGCTAGAAGGAAACGAGGGAAGAAGTTTTACAGTTTCACAGTGAATTCTGAAAATACACGCGCAATATGAATGTACGTATTGCGCGCGCCGTATTTCAAATACTGAAAACTTTCTATGCCGATTGCGCACACCTGTGTTCGTCAGCGCAGCTGCGAATAATCGAATGCTGGCACGCTTCTATTCTGCTATCGCACAATACATGTTTTTTAGCTGCCAAGGCATTATAATTTATATTTTTCAATTCCTATCTCGACTGGTGCTGTCAGTATGTGTTTCTATACCCGGTACCTGGAATTGACACCACTAATTGTTGCTCTGTTATCAATTCTTGCAACGTCTACTTACGTGATTTTGCCTTTAAGTTGTTTCTAAGGTACAATGTACACTACTTATGGTGACTGGGTACTCAGATAATGCCCGAAAGACTCGGGTAGTATTGAAGATAAACCGGGCACCGGAATTTGATAACATTAATTTCGATATCTCATTAGGGATAAATAGCACACTTATTTCGTTGGTATATATATTTTAAAGTTGGTTTCGTATTTTGATGTTCGATGATAAGTCGCCTGGCGAAACGCGATTCTTTCTCCTCAAAATTCAATTCTGCGAAGAGGGTAGATCGCAAAAGTGCATCAGACTCCGAAAGGAGCAAATGGCCGCGTTCGTGATCGCGTGGGACGTGTCGTCGATGAGATCGAGTGGCATTAAGGAAACAAAATGGTCCCTGGCTGCGTGTCGGCCATGCTTCGACCGGGATTGATATAAATTGGTAGAATTGCCGGGTGCCGCGGGTCTCGGCAGCGGGGAACGATACTGATTGCCACGGCCGCTCGTTAAGTACTGTAACAATGCTGGCCCCCACCACGTGGCGGGTTCGCCACCCCTCGCTTCTTGCACCCTCGTGCGACCGATCGTGGCCTCCGCCAATCTGTTCTCGTTCATCCCCTCCGTCGGCGGCGGCTCGGTCTGTCTCTGTCTGACGGTGAAGTAAAGCGAGAAGTGGGGGAGCTGGAAGAAGAGATGGATTGACGCGATACCGAAGAGAAGGATGAAGTATAGCTCCAGGTAACGTGCGAGACGAGATCGGAGGGAACGGCGCGAGAGAGAATGCAAAAGAGGGGCACAGGAGTGACAGGGCGAGAGAGAGAAGAGAGAGAAAGTTGGAGGGAGAAGCGTGAGAATGGGAAGGAGGACGCGTGAGGGAGGGTGAGGACGGTGGAGGGAGAAGCGTGTGAATGAGGAGAGTGTGAGAAGAGAACCGAGGATAATGTCGGGGAGAGAGACGTGGTAACGGAGAAGGCGATGCGCGCGCGAAGCGACGAAGGAGAAGAGAAGCGACGACAGGGCGCGTGAGAAAACGAGAAAATAGCAGGGTGAAAAATACGAGAGCGAGAGGCATTGACCGGGAGAAGCGGAGAGGAAGAGTAAGAGCCGTTAGCGTGTGCGACAGAGGTACAGATGGAAACAAAGACGGCGCGGAATCGAAGAAGAAGATTAATAGGAAAGACGAAGGGAAGAATACGTGGTGGAACTACCCGCAAGGCGGTCCTGAACTTGGTCAAATGGACGTACGGCAGGACGGAGAAACGCGAACTCGGAAAAGATAACGATTCCATCGGTGCTTAAGAAGAAGACGCTGAGGATGAAGAATGAAGCCGACGGAGGAGTCCCGCGGAAGAAGAGAAACGGAGAAAAGCGCGACGAGGGCGCAAAGTGGCGCGAGTGATGACGTGCCGGCTGTCTCGAGCTCACCTTGAAGGGCGCCTATAGGCCTTCGTGGTACATAATCGTGATCCTTTGTCGGCGACGGTACACTTCGGCCGACAGTTGCGCCCTTCCATGGCGCTGAAGCTGGCGTCGCCGCGTCGCGCGACACGCTGTCTACGTCGACGTCGGCGCTTTTCTATAGGCTGCAGGGGCGTTTCGGGGGGTGTGCGAGGAAGGTCGTCGTTTTCCCTTCTCGAGTCCCGCTTCTCACACCCGGGCTGGCTTTTCCTACCGGGCTCTCCCGTTTATTAGGGCTGCCTTCGGCCGAGGGACAATCGAGAGGTGGCCGACGTTGGGCGGGGCTTGCGAAGGGCCACCGTGTCATGTTCCATCCAGTAAAGCTCGCTCTTTTGAGCTTTTCGGAAAAGTTTCCCCGCAGGGGGGAGCCGAAGGACGGGCGTCGTATTATGGCACACGTCGCGATGAGAGGGAAGAGTAAAAGCCGGGTAAGTTTTTAGGGCGAATCAAGTTGTCGTGAAAAATCGCGCCCAACCAGGCGAGAGTCGATGTTAGTTTCATCCTATTAACCGCGGAGACAAAGTAACGCTTCTCTCTTTCTCTCTTTCTTCTTCTCGTTTAACATTTAATGGCGGATGCGTTCCTCCGACTGAAGCGCGAGCTTATTCCAGCCAGACTCGCCCTATCATGAATCTTGAATCAAGATTCAGCGACCGTCGCGCGGATCCTGCAGCCGGTATTTCGTGAGATCGTCAACGAGGTCCCATCCAATTCCAGCCGTCATTCCAAGTCCAAACATAACGCCATTCCGCGGAGCAAACATTTCTACTTTTCGACGTGCAAACCTCCCGCGATACCTCGGGGAAGCTTGCTCTTCAACTGTGCTGACCATTTCGCGTCTCATTCAGTTCCGCCATTCATTCCCCGCTTCTGCGTTGCATATGCTTAATGGTTCGCTCACATGTACATCTGTCGCGCATAAATCCACGTTTAAATCGCGCATGTATGGATATTCTATTCGGTGTAATTCATCTCGCACCGGCAAATGTCTGAAACGTATTGACGTCAATTTATGTTACACTGATAGAAAATTAGTTATTTTATACATACCTTTGTCTTTATCTTTATTATAGATATGTGAATATGTCACGAGAGAAACTCGACAGAAATAATTTGAAAAATCGTTCTTCCGAGACATCAAAGTGTCGGGAGTGAATTATCCCGGATAAAATGTATGAAAGAGATTGTTTCAGTTAAATAATGTGCAGAATGGCGAAATATTGACTGTATTCAGAAAATAAAGCGCAAAAACAGATCGCCGAGTTTCCTCGTTGAAAGCCGACGTTTACCAACCCTCGTCGCTCACTGCGCGGTGTTCTTCTTTCTATATGAACGCGAGGTCCAATTGAGTGGATGTAATAGCGGTACCACATGTTTCGCTCGGATTTACTGGCATGTGGGTTCCGTCGATGTGTGCTAAAACACTAACGTAGGGGCTGCGAAGGGAAAATTGCCAGTAACGGCGGCCCTCGAAGTCATCAAATTGATCGCCATGATTTGGATACCCCCTCCGAGCCACCAGTAAAGCCTCGTGCACACTGAATGCGTTGTCGATGAACAAACGACGCGTTTGTAATTTGTGCGTGTCTTGAATGATTCCCCAGTGCTACCGCAAATCCTATTTGTGCATTACTTTTAGATCGTATTAAATCGTAAGCTTAAGTTTGAAAAACGAAATTGAGATAAATTTGATTCGCGTATTCGCATTACTGCTGTCATCAATAGAAAACGTAATTGGTAATCGTTAGAAAAAAATCAATACTTACGCAATAAAAAAATTGGGTGTTAAGTTCAACAGATTTCACATGTCCCAAACGGCCGGTACAAATTGTTGTGTTAATTTAACACAAGATGAATATGTTGAAAAGTAACCCAGATATTATGTAAAAAATTAACACAAAATTAATACGTCAGTTGACACCGAAGTGTAAAATGTGTCATTTTAACACTTTATATTTTATGCGTTAAATATCGACTCAACACAAAATATTGAGATAACATAAACACAAAACGTTAAATTGACACACGGGTGAAAATTTAACACAAAAACTTGGACAAGAATCGATTTTAGCACAAGTACAAAATGTTTTTTACCGTACATAATAATGCTCGCATATATTTTTCTGTAATAATCTCGCGGAAGTGTTGATTTGTCAGTAGAAGAAGATAAGAAGGGATACAAAAATAAAGCTGGCGAATTATGATTATTATTCCCGGTAATACGCAAGAATCTCTCACGGAATTCCGAACAAAGAACGTTTCCCTCGCACGAGAGACGGGGCGTCGAAATCGCGCGAGAAATCAGCCGGTGGGCGGTGTTAAGTACGGGGAGTGTTCTCTTCCGAGCCCCTTTCTCCGCGGTTCACCCTCGACCATGAAAATCCTTGCCGGCCGGGAAACGCTGTCTGACGGTCAGTATTTTCGTTGCAGGCCTACCATGCAACCATTCGCGACGGGCAGCACAATGGCGACCGAGACACCGACCAGCCTGCCGCCCGAGAGGGTGACCACCCCGACGCCCTGCCGCAATCTGACCTTCTCCATCGCGAAGATCATGGAGCCGGACAAGCGACTGACCGAGCAGAGTAATCCGGCGCCGCCGCCTCCGCCGGCGACGACGACGGCGACGATCCTGCAGCAGCCGCCGAACATCTCCTCGCCGTCGTACTCGGCGCACCTAAAGTCGGCATTCGAGAAGTACGTGCCGACCTTGAGGCATCAGGATCTGCTCCAACATTACCCCGTACTGTCCAAGTATTACCCGCTGTACTACCCGAGTCCGTTGCTGAGGGCTTTCCCGGGGCCCCCGGCCTCGACGCCGTCGGTCACGCAGAGCTCGCCACCGCCTACGACGATCCAAGAGGCCTCCTCGCGGCTGAGCTTGACGAGCATGTCGCCGGAGAACCCGCGCGGCAAGAAGAGCCCGGCGCCGCGCGGCGACCTCGCCGCCGCGAACAAGCAGAAGACCTTCACCTGCCCGGAATGCGGGAAGGTGTTCAACGCGCACTACAACCTCACGAGACACATGCCGGTGCACACGGGCGCCCGGCCGTTCGTCTGCAAGATCTGCGGCAAGGGCTTCCGGCAGGCGAGCACCCTCTGTAGACACAAGATCATCCACACGGCCGAGAAGCCGCACAAGTGCGTCACCTGCGGCAAGGCCTTCAACCGCAGCTCCACCTTGAACACCCACACGCGCATCCACGCCAACTTCAAGCCGTTCGTCTGCGAGTTCTGCGGCAAGGGCTTTCACCAGAAGGGCAACTACAAGAATCACAAGCTGACGCACAGCGGCGAGAAGGCGTACAAGTGCAACATCTGCAACAAGGCCTTCCACCAGATCTACAATCTGACCTTCCACATGCACACGCACAACGACAAGAAGCCGTTCTCCTGCAAGATCTGCGGCAAGGGCTTCTGCAGGAACTTCGACCTCAAGAAGCACATGAGGAAGCTGCACGACGCGGGCTCGCCGGTGCTCAACGGGCTGGACGCCTCGGGCCAGAGTCACAACCAGCAGTCGGGCTACTCGTCGGTCTACCACGGCCCCGAGCACTCCATCGTCAGTCCGTTCATACTCCCCCCGCCCGGATCCACCAGTTACCACTCCCTCAGCAAGATGTTGTGACAGAGCGAGAACATGCACTATCCCAGGAAGACTCAGTACCCGCTCATTCTCGGTTCGCCTTGCTACTCGGCGGACGTGGGCCAATTGGCCCAGACCTCCAAGTGAGCGGCCGAACGCGCTCTCCGAGAAGCGGGACGCGCATTCGTTGATGCAGACGGGAAGCGTGTGACGATCGAAGACCGAGCGCGACCGAAGTTCATCGTTGACGGTTCGTTCGCGCGCGAGCAAATCGCGTGAACGCGATGCACGAGTGACACGGACGGCGCGAATGAGAGGGAAGTTGCCGCTCCATTTTCTTACTTCGATACGTCGAGGAGACATATTTTTGTAACGCGCGAAATCGAAGTTGCGGGGGGGGGGGGATTTATCTTTTCCGATCTCATTTTCACGGCGTTCCCCCTGTCTCGCGGTCGAAGAGGGGAAAAAATTCTTGACGAAATTTGCATCGCACTCTTTCATCAGAGAGTTGGGTCGCCCGTTCGTTTGGGGTTGCGATAATTTGGACGGGATATTTTCGATGAACACACAATGTCAAACTGCGGAATATGCACCAGGCGTATCTGATAATGCAAATAACTCGCCGCGTGAACGGAATCGAGCGCACGTTGGGAGGTAAACCAACAAGACACAGATGCCCCCCTATTAGTCCCTTGGCCAATCGCGAAGGGTTTTAATGATTGATTCCCGGGCGTTGACGGCCGCATCAATGGACTCCTGCGGGCTAATTAATCATATATGTAAATATTTGTAAATATTTGTATGTGCAAAAGCAAATACGTTGCGCGCGTAACGAGGGGACGAGGGAGTTATTAGCAAAGTGATCTGTAATTAGGACTGTCTCGACACAGACAGACCGATGGATGGAGAGAGCCATGAGAGTACGATGAAATCGTCCGAAAGACTTATCAAAAATTCGTCCAGATCTCACAAGAGTATTCGCCATTGAGTTCTATTATGTGTTAATTGTTTCGCGTTTGTGCCGGAAGATTCATCACGAATATGCGTTTTACATGCAGAGAGAATTCTCGCGAAAATCTCATAACTGCGAAAATAAGAAAAAATTCGTTTGTCACGTAATGAACGTTCACGTTCTTTTTTCTGATTTTCTCGATTTTGCTGACGATATAAGTAACGAAGATTGGACAGAATCGACAAATTCGTATCACACATTTGTCAGCACACGAAGAAGAAGTCGCGTATCCTCGTGGTTGATCAAGACTGCATCATAAGGATTTCTATTTCACATTGGAACAAGATAGATACACATAATCGAACACGAAGCTTAAGGGGAGACATTTTGTATCGCAAAATTACAAATAAGAAGTACGTGGATGTACGGAGCGATCTTACAAGTTGACCGCATATCTATCTACATTTAGGCAAATGTATAAATCGGTGTGATAGTAGCTTTAAGTGAATCATAGATAGCAAATGAAATGTTGATCACTATTATTATTATTATTGTAATTATTCTAGCTAAATCGTGATCATCGTGACTAATGCGACTACGATCATTAAGAGCTTTGCAATAGAATCCAAGAAAGTTTATAAGAATTATTATTATTATTATTATTATTATTATTATTATTATTATTATTATTGAAACACGAGTATCTATTTATGCATTTTTATTTACGTCTCATGACTGAAAGAGCAGCCTAAATCACATCACATTCCGTCGTGTATGAGATAAATTCCGAAACACACCGCGTTACGAGACAAAATTGATTATTTACAATGAAAGAATGGCTTGTTTCACACCGTACGTTAAACATTTATTTCGACGAAGAAAGACCTAACGGACTCTTGTCTGCGTATGTGTATTGTGCGAGCTAGATAAGTGGCAATTAATCGCGGTGGAAATAATCAAGCATAACTAAAGACAAAAGATTATATGTAGATAATCGGTAGAGTAGATGAAAATGCATATGTATGTGTCCCTGTTGTAAATATGAGTCAATCCGATGCAATAAATTTATCGATACCAGCGAATCGTCGTTTTATTTCTCTCTCTCATTCCTCCCAAAAGTGATTTCAGAATGTGATTCGCCGATCAGCCTTAGAAGATCACAATTCGAATGGAATTTGTAATTTTGAGGGATAAAAAAGGGAGGGGGACGATTTGGAAATAATTTACTGAGATTCGCTTTGAAACGCATATTTATCCGTCTCGTCGGAGTGTCCGCAAAGATTCTAATCCTCCGGAAGGGTTACTGATACGAATCGAAAGATTATCGTATTTTTATTCAATAACTCCGGATCAGGAGGAACTTAATGAAATTCCAACGATTTAACTCGCGGTCCCGAATTACTCTGATGCGTGTCCGGTGCGCGTAAGAGATGGAACATGTTCATCGCGCGAGAGCCTCATAAAATCGCGTATCGATTACGCGCGGGAAAAAGGCTTAACCCCCGGCGTAATGTACGTAACGAGGGTGTATGCGCGCTAATCTCTGGGGCACATCATCCGAGCGATCCCTAATCTAACTGCAACCGAGCGAGAACCGCCCCTTAAGCACACCGTCTACCTCGATATCCCATCTTCTACAATCACGAGAATGAGTAAGTGTACATGTACCTATGTGTGCGTGCATGTNGTGTGTATGTGGGAGAGGGGGGGGGGGAGAGCGCGAGAAAGAGAAGAGAGGGTGAGGAATCGATGATACTGCAAGGGCGAGCCAACCGACCAGCGAAGAATGTTAAAATAGGAGAGACAAAGAAAATGCAGCGCGTCATCCACCATTAGAAATGATGCGATCCTCTCACACGAAGCGGAGACTGAGCGAGTGAGAGGAAGGGCGAGTGGGAGGGCGGGAGGGAGATATCGTGATTTAGAGTGAAACAGAGATTGAAAGTGCAGCAAAGGAAGATAGACTCTGTGTGAAAGAGTGGGAGGGAGGGGAGTCGGTGGTTGGGGTTGAAGGGCGCGGAGCTCGGAGTGCGTCGAGGAGGGTCAGAGAAGCAAAGAGAGAAAGAGAGAGAGAGAGAGAGAGGAGGGAGGGTCGGGCAACGTGCTTCTGTCCTGATGTTTGCGCGAGATATCGCGCCGGTCCTCTGATGTATCTGCAGAATCTGTCCTCCATCCATTAAATCCGAGCTCATTCGACCATCGAGGCCACCCTGTCTCTTATCAAATACTATCGGTCGTTACGGGGATCGGGTCCTCCATAGAACGTCGTTCGAGCTACGTGTCAACGAGGAATCCCGGTGTTCGCAACGTAACGCGGCCCGTCATTGAAATACTTTCGCGGTCGATACGCGCGACGCGCCGTATCTCAGTAATGCATCTCGATTTGATGATACGGCGATATTGGACGCGCGCTTGATCGGCTTGATGCCGCGATCTCCGTTACATCCCGTTCGCACGATGGAGACACTCCGAGAGATCGCGCGTTACACCGGGGATATCAATTTTACAACGAACCTGTCCGTATCGTCCTTCGCTTCCGACGGCAATTTTGCCGTTGGAAGTGGATCGAACAGTTACTGTGTAGTCCGCGGAGGATAAATGGCGAATGCAACTCCCCCTGAACGACGGCAGGAAGTTTCGGCTCTTCTCAGGAGAGGTGTAAAAGAGTCCCGGTCGCGGGGGACTTGTATGCAAACAAGTATTTAGCGGCTTTTAATGGGAATTATCCGCGCCGGAGGGGCACAATTAAAGGCGGATTATTAACACCTGGAGCCGATGTCGCGCTACTACTTCTTGAGCCGGCGGCTTCTTGCTTCTATTGCGAGCCCCCCTGAGCCACCATCGTAGTACCCACGAAAATCGCTCGTCGAAGGATAGATCGTGAGGTAAGCGTGTCGGCCGCCTTTTAAGTTGGCTCGCTCTACCGCGATTCCGGTTTTGGAATTTTGCCCTGCGAAGGAAGGAACCGCCCTGCCGAAGTCGACGTACCGTGAAATCGCCCGAAACCGCCGTTGCGACGTCCGGGAGGCACTCGATTCCGAGACGCCTGCGTTGCTGTTTACGGAGATACCCCGTTGGAAAAGAATCGAAAATTCGAAAATTCGGGTCCGACTCATTCCTATTGATTGTCGCAGATTAATTTGCCGTTTAGACATCGCCGAATAATTTTAACAATATCTTTACGCAAATCTGTTAATTCGCAATTGTGCGGTGACTTATAATTCTTCAAAACAATTGGAAAGCTTACATTTCGACGTGAAGTTACAAAAATATAAATAAATGGGAAATCAACAATTATAAAGGGAAGTGAAATTCAAAATAAAATAAACCATCTGAATTTTACGGTAAAAATGAAAAAGAATTGGCGGGAAAGCGAATGAGTGATTATCGGCGAGATCGTCGGCGAAACGTTGGGAATAAATTCGACGTGCGTTGTCACTTCCGCAAAACTCCACCGTGGATTTCCTGTCCGATAAATCCGATCTTGCGCGGGACACGGAGCGAAATGTGTAGCGAACACATTTTTGCGCGTATCGGCCCGTTCGAGCGTACATTCGCGCGAATTCTGCAGCGGAGCGGACGATCCTCGGCGATCCGTGATACAATGACAATACGGAGGCCGCCATAATGCCGGCGTCCGCATTGACACGCCGCCGGTTCTATGGAGGGATGAAGAGGGTAATGAAGAGGTGTCGAAGCGTATCCCGTAAACCCCCATCGCCCGGCGAACCAAGGGTCTACTCGCATAATAACTTAGAGTTCGCTCATCAGTTACGGGTTTTAACCAATTATAAGGATATTAACGGGGGTGGCGCGAAACAGCCCCCGGGGGTAAGAGCCGCATTTGCGACCGGCCCGATATCACGCGGAAGGGATTTAGCGCTTCCTGCTGCGATCATTTCGCATGTCGCGATCGTGCGTTTGTTTCGACGGCGGGCGTTGTGATGATGATCGTTCGCCGATCGATTCACCCTTGTTTCGGTGAGATCAGTTTATCTCAAGAGAAGAAGAAAAATAATTACTATCACATCATCTCTACCAATTATGAGTATTATTAAAATATTAAACAAAATAAACGTTATTATTATCATTATCCGCATCAGTAACCCTTGTCTCTTTATTGTAATACTGAAACTTCTCGGTTT